ACACTTACGGATGACAGTGACCAACACTGACAGTAACGATTCCAGCAAAGAGATCAAGATATCTTCGTCCTTCATAATCAAACAACCACTGCATATATCCTTGATGCAGCAACAAAGGCTTCTTGTAAAATGTTCTCAGTGCCGGAGAAACATTTTGTTCACGAATCTTCAACATACGTTCATATGAATAGGACTGGCGGGAATAAAAAAGTCAGTATCTGTTCATGCTTTCTAAAGATCCAGACTACTGGAACAGCTCTAGTTCACAGAACAAAGGTTTTAACAAATTCTGGTACATAGAGCGCTCTGCAAAACAACCTTTTGAAACAAGACTGCTGTTCTGCATCTGGAAGTCTTCCAAATCAACAATTTAGCCTTAATTACAGAAATGCCACACAAATGCATCTATAGGTTATACTGCGGTTCTAACAAACAAGCAAATAGCAAAAGTCCTATTCAATGGACAAACTTCACAGCAGATGAGCCTATCACTCAGATCTCATAGTGGAGTCTTACTTAAGTTCAGGTGTAGGATATATTACTTACTTGGTATTTTTCAGGTACAAAGTTGCAAGGAGGCATTTTTGCTTGTACAGAGACAGTGCTTTTCCATTTCTGCTGCCTAAAGGCAACTAAAAAATAGAAACAGAAATATCAAACGTGTACCAAAGTGCACATCTGAAAGCATTTCGCAATAAGCTTGTTCACAGGAAATAAAAGCTACAGACAAGGAAAATACTTTGAGGGCTTTCCTTTGGGGAAAACAAAATACTTAAGAACTGTTTGCAGAAAGGCAAAACACATGTTGCTTTGTTTTGACAGAGAGAATCTTAGAAAAATCATTTTCTGACACAAGACCAGAGACAATGCGGGAGACAAGGCAATGACACAGGTCCAAGGTCCATGCAGGAGATGGGGACAGGGACAGGACTGGTGGCGAGGCTGCACACCCCCGTGGCACGGCTGAGGCAGGGACATGGACATGGGTGGAGGTCCTGGGGGGCTTGGGGCTGCTCAGGGGTGCTCCGGGCCCCTACAGCTCTCATCCCCACCTTCCACCCTCACTTCAAAATCCTGAAGTCACCGTGCCGTCCTATCTTCAGCTTAACTCAAAGTATAATTAAGCTGGCATCAGAAAATGTTATCATTCTTCCACATCCCTAACAGTCGTTCTCCTTCTGCATCACTAATGTCACCAGAGGAGAACTATGCCCTTTATTTTTCAGTGCTTTAGGTTTCACACGCTTCCTAAAACACATCAGATGAATGAAAAATGAAGTTTCCCAAAACGGACCAGACACACTGCCACTGCCTTGAACGAATTAAACACCCACGAGTGTCCACACTCAACAACAAACGTGAATTAAAGCTCTAGGGTCTTGGACCCAGCTCTACCCATCGATCTCTTCCAAGGGGATCTGTCCACATCTCCCACCCGCAAACACGGCTCTACGAGGATAAATCCGAGCGTTTCGGGGACAATCGCTGCCCCCAGCCCCTAAGTGTCCCGGCCGGCCCAGGGCTCGCAGGGCTCCGCTGCAAAAACGCCTTTCTGCGGGCAGCCCCCGGCGAGGCGACCCCTATGGCAGGGGAAGAACCGCCTCAGCCCTTCGCTGCTCCGGCTTAGTGCCGTCACCCGGTCCCTATCCCTATCCCTGTCCCTGTCCCTCGGGGGCTCGCTCCGTTCTGCCTCGGCTCCCGGCGCTGCCCTTACCGCTGCCGAGCCGGTGGCCGCCCCCCTGCCTCAGCGCCGCCATGCCGCCCGCCATGCGCTGGCCTGAGGGACCCGGGCAGTGGGGCCGCTGCCCTCGCCCCGCCCCGGCCCCCGAGGGCTCGTCCCGCGGCTGTGGGGAGGGGCAGCGGGGCCAGGCGGCTTCCGAGGGTCAATAAAGCTGTTTTTTTGTTTGTTTGTGTGGTGGTTTGGGGCAGCTGAGCGCCACCACAAGTGCTCTCTCGCTCCCCATCCTCAAAGGGAAAGGGGGAGGAAATACAATGGAAAGGGCTCAAGGGTTGAGATTAGAACAGGGAAATCACTCAACAGTGATCGTCACAGACAAACAGACTCAGCATAGGAAGATTAATGTAATTTATTGCCTATCACTAACAAGGTAGAGCAGTGAGAAACTAAGAACACACCAAAAACACCTTCCCTCATTCATTGTCTTCCACCTTCTCCCCCTGAGTGGCACAGAGGAATGGGGAATGGGGGCTCCTGTCAGTCCCTGGCGCTTCGTCTCTGCCGCTCCTTCATGGTCACTCTGCCCCTGCTCCACGTGGGGTCCCTCAGCCAGCAGCTCTTCAAGACCTGCTCCCACACGGCTCCATCCCACGGGGTCCATCCCCCAGGAGCAAACTGCTCCAGCACGGGTCCCCCACGGGTGGCAGCTCCCCCCAGACCCTTGCTCCTGTGTGGGCTCCTCTCCACGGGCTGCAGCACGGAGATCTGCTCCATGTGGGACCCATGGGCTGCAGGGGGACAGCCTGCTCCACCAGGGGCCTCTGCACAGTGATTAAGGAGACATTGGGGAGGCAAGGACAATATTAAGGAGGTATTGGGGAGGCACTGGGGAGGCAAGGACAATCCCCAGACCAGGACTGTATATCTTGAAACAAGACACTGGAACTCATGATAAGGAAGTGGCAGACGGACAGAGAAACAAATGTAAGGACTATAAATCTCAAAACTGGACATTGGAATTCATTATAAAGATACAACAAATGGAAGAATTAGCAACAACCAGCTCTTGCAATTAAGAAACATGCCAACTCAGCAGATTCCTGACCAAAGGTGAAAAGTACACTGTGAGGAAGACTCAGGGTCTTCCTCCCAAAGACCACTGCCCACATCCCAAAGACCCCTGCCCACAATTCTTGGGAGGCTCTACGCAGGCTCAAGGTGCCAAAAGGCTAATTAGCATGAGAAGCGAGGGAAGGCGGGGATAGGTAATGAATATGTATAGGCGCTTGTAGAATATTGATAGATTGATTGTATAAATTCAAGACTGCTTTCCGCTTTGGGTATGCACAATAGGTGGAGAGATCCCCCATGCATCCAGCGCTGCAATAAAGAATATACCACTTAAAGGAATTTCGGCTTCGATCTTTGAATCAACAGGCCGCAGGGGATCTGCTGCTGTGTGCCTGGAGCACCTCCTGCCCTCCTGCTGCACTCATCTGGGGGGCTGCAGGGCTGTCTCACTCCTCTCTTCCCGCTGCTGCTGTGGCAGTGGGTCTTCTTCCTTCCCTTCCCTTCCCTTCCCTTCCCTTCCCCTTCCCTTCCCTTCCCTTCCCTTCCCTTCCCTTCCCGTCCCTTCCCTTCCCTTCCCTTCCCTTCCCTTCCCTTCCCTTCCCTTCCCTTCCCTTCCCTTCCCTTCCTTCCTTCCCTTCCCTTCCCTTCCTTCCCTTCCCTTCCCTTCCCTTCCCTTCCCTTCCCTTCCCTTCCCTTCCCTTCCCTTCCCTTCCCTTCCCTTCCCTTCCCTTCCCTTCCCTTCCCTTCCCTTCCCTTCCCTTCCCTTCCTTCCCTTCCCTTCCCTTCCCTTCCCTTCCCTTCCCTTCCCTTCCCTTCCCTTCCCATGTCAAATTGCACTTGACCTAGGCAAAAATGAGTATGGGGAAAAATCAGAAAAGGTGTAATTAGGGAAAAATATGAACCAGAATGAGATATTATCTGTAATCTGGGTGATAAAGAGAATTTATATGTAAATTATTATCTGGGTAATAAAGAGATATTGAAATATATTGTTGGAAGGAGAGGGATAACTGACTGATGACCAATTTCTTTGCTCTCTACAACTCCATGAAAGGAAGTTGTGAGGAGCTGGGGTTCAGCCTCTTCTCACAGGTAACTATGGCTTCTAGTTGAGCCAGGGGAGGTTCAGGTTGGAAATTAGGAGAAATTTATTCTCAGAATGAGTGGTCAGGCATTGGAATGGGTTGCCCAGAGAGGTGGTGGCATCACCATCCCTGGGTTGGATGTGGTGCTTAGGGACATGGTTTAGTGGGTGACATTGGTGGTTGGGGGATGGTTGGACAAGATGATCTTGGAGGTCTTTTCAACCTTAATGGTTCTATGATTATTCCTCCTCCTCCCTTCCCCCCTTTTTTTTAACTTCTTCCTTAAAGAATACTGTCATGACCAGCAAGAATGGTGAATCTTCTGAGGGAAAATAAGAAGTGCAAGATTCTAAAATACTTAGACTTCTTCAATCAAACTTTACATTCAAAAACTCGCAATGCCTGAATTTCAGTGATAATGACAATTTTCAAGAAAGAAGGAAAGAAAGAAAGAAAGAAAGAAAGAAAGAAAGAAAGAAAGAAAGAAAGAAAGAAAGAAAGAAAGAAAGACAGAAAGAAAGAAAGAAAGAAAAAGAAAGAAAGAAAGAAAGAAAGAAAGAAAGAAAGAAAGAAAGAAAGAAAGAAAGAAAGAAAGAAAGAAAGAAAGAAAGAAAGAAAGAAAGAAAGAAAGAACCATAAAGTAGCAAGAGTCTAAAAGTTGTGACCTTGAAAAGGAGCCATTTGTGTTAACAGTGTGGTTTCCATGAAACCTAGAAGATGGATTGTAGGTGGTACTAAACATCACACTTCTCTCCAGTTCTGTCTTGAGTCCCCCAGTTTGGAGCAGGTGAATATATTGCTTGTTTTGTGCTCCAAAAAGTATGTTCTAGGAATGAAAATAAGCATGAGTAAACCAACCTTTCTAAACAGCTTCTCCAAGAAGTCAGAAGTCCTTCTTCACACAGGAGTTTCTCTTATACCCAAGATTTTATGAATTGATGGCTGTATATTGCATTTTCACTACATGCAGTATGGAGCTTCCTGAATGCTAAATCAGCTGTCCAGTGCACACAAAGTGGGTTAAACATATTTATCAGTGGGCCTTCCACTTGCAGAACAGTGGGAGCCCATCCCACAAACTGTTCTGGATGTCTGACTTTTCTTTTTCATTATTATATATAATGGAATTGCTCAATTTTATGAGGAAAGCTAGAAGATTCTGAGAATATTATTCAAGAACTTTTATTAAATTGAAATGCGAACATCATTGCAGAGAGATTTTACAATGACAATATAGAAAAGTCCACCAGAAAGCTACAGACTTCAGTAACAATATTGATCTTACAAGTGAAATTGCTAACAGATTTTATTAAAGCCAGCAGTTTCGATATTAAGAACTTAAAAAATACATACCTTTAAAGCATTTTCCTTCAAATACACTTAGAAACAATGAAGAATTCCTGAGCAACTATTTTTGTACCAGTACGCTCCAACCAATGTACATACTAATATGAAATCTACTTTCTATAATTTCTAAAATTTTAGAAATTTACAAAACATTTGGATCTGGTTCATAGAATAATTGTGCTTCAAGTCATTCTGTTGCTAAAGCAATGACACTACAATAACTTGGATGTTCCAGATTGCATACAAATTCTGAAAATGTAATGGAAATGCCTAGCTTTTATTGCAAGGCTAGCAATGAATTGGTTTATGCAAATGGAAAAAAAAAATGCTTTAAATATGGATGATCTCTTTCTTGATTGGGAATTATCTTGTTTGTTGTGCATACTATTCAGAACGTGCAATTCAAATTATAAATAAGTTTCTTTGAGAGATCTGCTGGCATTATCAAAGGCAAGGAAATTCTAGAGACTTTCTCCTGCATTTAACAGCCTGCCAGAAATTTGAACAAATACAAATTATTAGTGGCTTTTTAGTTCTTCTTCTTTTTTTTTTTTTTTCTTCCCTTGGCAGTACTTTTTCAGAGCAGCATCCCCAGTATTTCTGTTATACACAGACTAAAAAAAAATAAATATGTGGAGCACAATATAAAGATTTGAGAAGCTCAAATGTTGCTGAGTATCTATGAGCAATATAAATGAATATAGCATATATGAAACCGATGGTTGTGTTATTCCAGATGAAGAATGGTATTTGACGTCAGAATAAAAAATTACTTTCTGAGATGAAAAATGAGCAACAGTATAGCAGCCCAGGAGGTCCCTTCTCAGTGTATCTGAGCAGTAGTTTCCTCTTCTTTTTGGAGTGAAGGACATGGGGATGAGAATTCAGAGTACTCTATCTACAGCATTATGAATATTAAAACTTGGTTTGACATCATTATACTTCCACCTGTATTCTATAGAAAAATCTGCGTATTCTTAGACATGTGTAGTTTTCTGTTCTACTCAAGGGATATTTTCTGCTACTGATATCTACAAAGATTTCCAGCATCCTCTAAAAATTCTATTCAGTGCTATATCTATAAAACTGACCATTACAATCTTTGTAGGAAGTAAAGTAAAATCTGTACATTTTTATTGATGTCAAAATGAGGTGAATGTACTCAGCAGCTCTCTAAAATAGAAGTGGTGTTGTCCAAAAATAAGATTGTCAAATAAAGTCCAAGACCAGCACCATCACAGAACAGAACAGAACAGAATGTTAACTCTTCTGAAAATAAAAGTGGAAGATGTGAAAAAAGACTTCCTTATTTCTAACTTCTCTGTGTACTGATGTCTTGAGTATAAATCCAGCTAAAAGCCTATCAGCACTGCAAGACACAGCACAAATAACTAAGTTATTTCTTGAATTACTTTTGATAGATGCAGTAGTTTCTCTTAAAAACTTAGCTTAAATGGGAGAAATGTATTTTAAGTCTGTCTTGGAAATTCTAGAATTTATCACCAAGACATGGACTTTGTAATTAAGGAAAATGTCAACTGGTATATTGTCATGTATTGTCATATCTGTTAATATTGTCACAGGTATGAACTATACAATGCCCAGAAATGTCAAGAGACCATTTACTACTATCCACAAAACATTGTCTCTTGGTGTTTCCAGATCACTGCATTGCCTTTAATAAATAGAAAATAGAAGAATGCTTAAGAATGACAGATGTATGTGTGAGACAATGTAAAAGGATAAAAAAATCTCATTCATAAATCTATCCGAAAAAATGAATTGAATGTAGCTTTTAAAAACCATGTGGTACGTGTGGTATTTTTGTTGATTTTTTCCTTAGGGCTGTAGGAAATGCAACAGCAGATTAGATGGGGGGTATAGCTGCTTAAGCGTTGTTTGCTAGGGGCCAATATCAGATACTTGTAAGAAAATCCTGTAATTAATATAAATGGAATGAACTCTCATGTATAAGTCTTTTTCAGCTTTTATCTAACAGCTGATCTGTAGTAGACAATTTCAGCATCTTGATGACTGGTTAGTACTTAATAAGGCATTACAGTTTTTGTGGACTATCTCAAGCAACTGTACGTATTCCCACTTTTGATATATATATATATATATATATATATATATTTTTTTTTTTTTCTTAAAAACTCATTTATTACTCTACCATTTCTGATTTTTTCCTATCTACTCTTACATTTGATTCTTTTGCTTTCATTTTCTGTTCTCCCTCCTTTTTTTTTCAACCACGGTCAATATGCATGTTTGCCCACTCTGATTTCTCAACTACCTGTGCACCTTCCTGTAGGGTTCATTGTGACTGTGCTCCTCTTCCATTCTGCCACATGCAGTTTATCTTTAATCTCCTGCTTGACGTACACTGGAAAGATGAAAATAATTTTTCATTTATTTCAAAAGGGTTTTCAAGGCAGAGCCAAAAGATTGTTCCAGCTCAGTGTAATTCAGTCCATCTGTCCACACCCATAGGCACTAGAGTCTGAAGGAAGTCAGTGACACGGTATGAGGGTTTAAGATAGTTGAGAATAGGAGTATTTCTCCATTTTCTCTGTGTGTCTCCATTTTCACTCATTTAGGAGCAGCGTTTGAAGATTAACTTCTCAGAAGCAACTGAAAACAGGTCTTTCTAAGTAGTAAGTACTGATAAATGCTTAGTTCCCACTGGTGAGTTCCAAAATCAGACCACCTCTGAGAACTCAGCTCATTCAGTCCTAGCAAGCTGGGCACGCAGGCAGTAGCAAAAAGCAGAAAAGGGACTGATGCTTTAGGAAAATAGAAACTGCCAAGCTGGTCAGTATGGCTTTCCCTAAAAGATGGAAACTTCTTTGTTATTTTTTCACATAAAAACATATTTGGATACAAATGTCTAATATCCCATCCTACTACTACTAGAGCAATACAAGTGATGATTCCATGACAAGCTGTTAGTTAAGAGAAACAATTTGAAAATTACAAATACGTTTTTAGAAAAGAATCTGCATTTTGACACACAAAGTAAAATGCTTTTTTTCTGCCTTTTTAAAGGGAGCAAAAATAAACAACATCTGAGGTAGCGATTCTTTAAGAATATGGTGCCTGATCTCATGACGCTTTCATTTCATTTGTCTTTATGGCTTTTAGAAGATGTCTAATATTCATTAACTGGCTTAGATGACTTTGGTTTCCTTGCACAACACTTTCAAATTGTTTATGGTTAATGAGAAATTATCAAACACATTTACAGGCTTGTATGTGAGCTGCACATATACAGTGCTCCATAGATCACAAATAAAATGGTTCTTACTCATTTTTAACATCTACTGTTACTACACTTTAAATACTTAAATGACATTTAAAGCAACTATAGATTTTCCAGCCATCTAAACATATACACATAAACAGATATACCACAGAGTTCACTGCTTTAACATAAACCACTTATCACTACATATTTGTGTTTCAGTTTGTTCCATAAACATGTACACCCACTTATTAGTATTCTATAAGGTCTGTTTACTGCATTTTTATTAAATAATCCTTTGTAGTTACATAGTATCATTAAGACCATTCTTCAAACCTGTATTTTACGTGAAAGTAAGTTTTGGCAGCACATGCCCCACCTCAGTAAATCATATTTCTTTAAGAGTCAGGAACATTATATTGAAATACTAAAAATACACATTAAATATGTCTTTGCTAAAGGAAAAAGTTTAATTAGAAAATTTAAAATAATGAGTTCTATTTCTCAAAACTGAAGAAAAACTGTACATAAAATTATTCTGAGTCCAAAGGAAAGGTATTTAATTGAAATATATATATATTACATTTTATGAATTTATAAAATGAATTACTTCTGAAGAGCCTTTTAGGACTTTTATGTTACTAATAGGTAGTTCACGCTGTAAGAGACACATATATAGATCTAACTTTGAAAGCATCATTCAAACATAAATCCATGTGAGAAGTTTAACTAATGGTATGAGACCTAGCGAGACAATCCCTGTTCCTGGGGTAAATTATGTTACATACTTCATCACTGTATATCAAAAGAGGTGTCATGTGCTTGTTATCCCCACTGATGTATCATAACTTTACAAGAATCCACTGAGTACAATTGCTACAAAATCTCATCTATTTCCTACTTAAAAGCTAAGAGCTGTAATAAAAACTAAAGTTGCAAACAAGACAATGAAGTATTTGAACATCCAAAGGCCCTCAAACTTAGCTGATGGTTATCCTGATTTCACAGGACACTAGTTTATTCTCTTTTGATGTGCAAAAGTACAGTTTGGATGTTAAAGGCCACTTTCAGAAGGTATTACTCCCACCTGGGAAGTAACAGGGTGTTTTGGAAAATAAAAGTGCATCAAAATGGAAAATAATCAAACTGCACATTTGTTCAGCTTAAAGGATGAAACACATTTATGAAAAATGTTTTAAAATTCTATTTAGCTAGCAAATCCCTCAAAAAGCTAAGCTACATCCAAGCAACCAAAAAATACACCTTTTCTACTTGGGCTGAATTTCTGTTTTCACAGAAAGCCATGATGATTTGGCATCATGAGACTTTCATTGGCAAAGATGGGAAAGAATCTATGCCTCATAATATAATTTATGCCTGCAGGTATTTTGCAGTTTCATTACCAGTTTATGGCTAGGCATATAGAAACACTTTCACTCAGTTCTCTTTCTGAGGGAGAATTTGTGGATTTACCTTCTTTTTGATATCTTGAAATCCTGTTTTTTCATTCAATAATACTGATTTTTTCTTGTTTCTTTCCTTCTGGCAACTTGCAGTTTGCATGTGCATATAAATTAAAGGTCCTCTGAAAAGCTGATCTTTTTGGTTTTATGAACTCAGGGTGTTAAAGTTACTGATGTTCCTGGGACCTATCAGCTGCCACAGAATTGGACATAACCCACAATATTAATACAGCCCATATTTTTCAATTTAAGCAATGTCAACATAGGAAATATTTGATTAAACATTATTTAAATTCTCATTTTTGGACTAGAGGTCATACTTCTCTATTAGAGCAAGCTAGGATAGACAAACTTAGTAACAGTCGATGGAGTTTAGAGTATGACTCATCTCTTCCTAAAGCACACACTTGTATTCTGACAGGCAAATCATGCTCTAGACTCCATGATCTACAATAAAAACTTAGCAACCAGGTACATGTATAGATACTTCCATTTAGTTGGGATCAATAATACACTTAAAATCTGCTCAAAGTTGTGCCAGTCTTCCTCTGGTCCAAAATAAACTGTGACAGCAACAGTCTGCTGCTGACACGTTATCCCACCTTTGCTTTGGTTTGTAGCATCTCTGTAGCCACTTGTAAGTTACCATAAGTAATCCACTCTGTAAAGAAAATCTTTAGGCTGTAGCTTGATAAGATTCTATAGTCTCTATAGAACACCAGAGGCATGCTAAAGGCCGGCAGCAGCATGTCCTTATGCATGCTGTTAGGAGTAGAAAGCAACTGCTTGGCTCAGATATGACTGTCTGTGTAAAGAAAGAACGTGTCTGATTCAGACTGGCTTGTCTGATTCAGTCAGAAAAGTGAAGCATTCAGTCAGAAGAATTAAGCATTGTCACACAGTATACTATCAGCTTACACACATGGACACACAGATTGCTGTCCTGTAAAACATTCCAGTTTTGACTGATAACTTGATAGTTTCTTTGCAGTACTTTTAGCATCTAGAAAATTTGTAAGATATACCACAAATGCTACAGTAAAATTGTCCTGTTACCTGTAATTAAACAAAATGTTATGTTTGGCTGCTCTCTGAAGTAGCCACTTCATGTCTTCAAGCAATGAACTGAGTGGCTGAATTAAGAATCTAAGATCCCTCACTGTGCATTCAGCAGAGCATCCAGACTGCTCCAATCAGCCTCTAGAAAGGGGAAGTAAATTGCAGGTATAGAGGTCACAGACTTCAAATTTGATGCCTAAAGTAAATGTTACAGTATCCACTAGCATACATGTTCATATACACACAGATCGTTAAATTCTAAAGTCCAGCCAGTGAACGGGCTAGACAGCTTGACCAATCTGTACTTGAGCAGTTCCATTGCATGGAAGTATCGTATGAGAATTTGATTTGCCAACTAAGACTTTTTTTTTTTTTTTTTTTTTTTTTTTTTTTTTTGCGGACCTTCAAAATCAGAGGGTCTGTTTTGGCTGGCTCTGCAACTGTTTACCTGATACTGCAGGAAGGCTGGCTCAGTGCATAAAATCAGAAAAAGCTGAGAAATATGACACTGTTCAGAAAGGACAAAAGAAGAGAGCTCATCTATGATAAATATACTTTCCATCACATGTGCAGTACAATTTCCCTTACCTTATGCTTCCAATTCCCACTGAAGCTAGTGGTGTTGGCTAAATACTTGACCTAGCTTTAATTAGCCATGGCTTACTTGTTCATACTTCGATGGAGTAAATTAAACTTTTGCTTCAGGAAGGAAGGGCCATAAGTACACAGCCATTCCACTACCATTTTGATTTTGCCTTCAGTTACATGTGGTAGGAGGAATCCTGACTCTTTCCGCAGTTGCTTTCCAACTACATGGACCCCTTTTCTCACTCCTGTTGCTATTTCAGCAGAGCACTAGCTGACTTTATGCCGCGTATCCCTGGCTGTTGAGGCTGGATTCCCAAACTAATTTTGATAAGTTCATTATGAAATATCTGAAAATTTTCAAACTTTCTTTCCAGGCTAAGAGAAAAGTGTACATGATGGCTAAGGATGCAGGCAACCATCATTCCATTCATGAGTGGCATGGGAGTACGAATTAAGTGGGAAAGAAGCTTGCTCTCAAAACCTAGATTCTATTTTAATTTTATAATAACAGCTGGTAAAAAACATCAGAAATAAATAATTTACAATTCAAATAGTAATACATTTGCAATATATTAGAAATATAGTTTAAAAATGACTTCATATCCTTACTTAGTATAAAGTTTAATTTTATGCTTTGTATAGAAATAGCAGCTTTACTTGTTACCTCTGTTTCAGCAGAAGGAAACAGAAAAGTTGCTAAATAGCTAAATAACATTGGGAAATTAAAAAATATTTTATTTTGCTTTTTTTTTTTTGGTAATAGAAAAATAGCCTTTAAAAATACATTGTTAAATGTATGGGACTGTACTAAAGTAGAATTGTATATTATGTACAGTAAGGCAGTATATCAAATAGTGTCCTCCGATTTTTTTTCATGTTTGATTTGACTGGAATAGGCTATGAATGGGATGCAGAGTTTTCTGTCATATTGAAACAAAGGAAGATATATTTAGAGGATTTTTTTACTGTAATTAGTTGAATATATTCTCTTTTATATATGTTTTTTTCCATATATAAGAGCTTAATTTTCTTAAGGGTTGAGAAAAAGTATAGAGAAATCTTAATCTACTGTCAGAATACACTCAGAAAAAAATATGTTGTCGATCAGAATGTCATTGTGTAATGATTTATCTGATTTAGAAACTGCTCAGACAATTGTGGTGTACTGACCCATAACATTCTTAGTCTTTGTTGAAACTGCAGTATTCCCTTAGGTTGAATCAAATAACAGAAGATCTGCAGAATTGAAGAATTAGTTTGCAATGTATTTTTCATGGCACATAGTATCCATTTCCTCATTTCGCTCTCTGAGAAATGTGTTAACGATCCAGGGTTTACTTCTATGATTGTTATATCAAACCACAGTTTATTTTATTCTCTGTATAATACACAAAGGAGGCTATTTTTTGTTGTTGTTGTTAGTTTTTTTGTTTTGTTTGTATTTAGGGAACTATTTGCTGTGTGGTTTTATTTTACTGTACATAACTATTAACAAAATTGATATGTAAATCACAGACTTGTCAGCTAGAAAATGGTGTAAGCTACAATTGTGACATAGTAGCATAATCTTAAACCACAGCATTATTATACTGATTGTATTTGACTCATTCTGTAGCATTACCTGATGAAGAATGATCAAACTTTTAGTTATTTAAAAGAGGGCATAAAGGAGGATGGGTCCATATACTCTGATCCACTAGTCTCTCTTTTGCAGTCACTTGGAGCTGTCAGACAGTAGCTCATGTTTTTCTCAGCTTGACCTTGCTGAAGGTTCTGAGATGTTTCCTTTGCAGGTTCTTGAGACATAGGGGTGTGCTGGACTCGTGAATCTGGCATTAATACTAGAATATTATGGTCCACAACAGTTGAGACCTTTGTATATTCTTTGCTGGTTCCTGGAATAGTGTAATTTTCAGTCTTCCCACTATTTTCTTTATGTTTCAGTAATACTGCTGGCTCCTCATCCTGCTTGACTTTGTGGACTTCTACATAGTCCATTAGTGTACCATTCAAAAAAGGTGACTTTTCATTAGGTCTGTTTTGTTTGACCTGCACTGCAGTTTGCTCAGTTTTGGAATGCAAATTCTCCATCTCTCCTTGTTCTTCCATGTCTCCAGGGACTGTTTCAGTAACAGAATATCGTGACTGATGCTTTTCTTCATTTTTCACTAAAACTGGGGCAACATTCACATTTGTGGTAATCAGTGTTATTTTACGTGCATCTACAGTGCTGTGGTAGGCAAACATAGGAGGTTGATTATCAGGTAATTGAGCTGCAGGCCACGTGGATGATTTTGTGCTCTCACTGTTAGAAAGGAGTGTTTTCCGTTCTGAGGCTACACACTGAGTTTCCCAGCTCCTTTTCACAGCTTTATTTTCTTGAACATCTCTTACATCTTGTGTTTGAAGCATTGATGGAAGGGCATGGGACTCCCTGCACTTTTCAGAAAGCAGAGAAGGGCTATCACAGCTTCCTCGTCCTGAGTCACTGTCTGTTTCCTTGGGTGTTGTTTTTCCTTTTTTACTTGGGTTACCATTGCTGTGACTTGGCATGAGTTGCTGATCCTCGCTGTCCTCTACCTCTAGGTATTCTATCAGTAGTTCCTCACAGTCTGATGTTGGAGGAAAACCATGGCAACCAAGAGCACTCAATAATTCTTCAGATTTCCCTGTCTGAAGGCATAACAAATAAGATATTGATATTTTTCCACTGTAAACATTAGGGCTTATATAACTAGAACAATAGTGAACAGTCTACATATTTATTAGGCAAATACTATAATAGCTACATCTCTAGATGTAACCTGGATTTCTACTGCTGCAAAAAAGTAGTGTAATAACAGTAGAACTTCCTCTGAGTTCCATTAGTGGGGAGATCCCAGAGTTCATGTTTCTAAAATGGAAGGGCTAGAGAGCTTCTGGCAGATAATAGTCTCAAGGGTTTGGCAAGAAGGTAATGGAGGAGAATTAACAGAACAGCCATGTCCTTGTCTCCTCAACACGGCAAGAAACTGTGGAGAGTGACTTATCTAAGAACAACTTAGAACACCTAGGAATTAAGCTCTTACTGTGTCCCAAGTAGCAACTGAAGTTACAGACCCTGTAGATATATGCCCTCCTATTAGTGCCAGGCAAAACTGTCTCATACATACATTCCACATGATCAACCTGAAAGTTTTGCTTATTTTTAACATTGATTACATTAATTAAATATGTTTTATACTTAATTATAGTAGTTGTTTTTGATAGTACTGAATTTAAAAAAGTAAGTAATGGCAAATTCTTATGCTGTTATCAGCAGTACTCACCTCTAACAGATGTGTATCGATGCCTTTTATTTTTGGTCCTGGAACTGGTGGTAGGATAAAGGCTATCATTCTAAAACAAACAAACAAACAAACAGAAATTAACAAAACAAACAGAAAGGAAAGCAATCAAACAAATGGACAAAAAAACCAACAGAACAAATACAAATGATATAAATATGGGCCCTCTCTTACCCCCTCCCACTCTTTCATGTGGGTGCCAATGGTGTAGCAACAGGAAGTCTGAGTGCTATCAAAAGAGGTTTCTGAGCCCTAGGAAGACAAGTAAAGGAAGAAGATGACTGAAGAAAAGTTGAAGTCTCCAGTCCATCTGGGAGACTTAAACTTCCCAGGCACACACTGGGAATATCATATTGACAGGACAAGCAAGCCTGGGAAATTCCTACAGCTTGTTGAAGATAACTTTCTGTCACATGCACCGAGTGAGCCAGCCAGGAAGGGTGCTCTCCTGGATCTGTTGTTTGAGAGTAGGGAAGGCCTTCAGGGAGAGGTGATGGCAGGTGGCTGTCTTGGCCACAGTGATACTGATGAAATAGTGGAACATTTTGTGGAAATAGTTCAACATTTTTGGTGTAGGGAGCAAAAAGGTCAGCGGAGTTGCCAATCTGGACCTGAGAGAGCAAACTTTAAGCTTCTCAGGCAGTTAGCTAGCAGCATCCCCTGGGAATTGACTCTAGAGGGTTTAGGGTACATGAGAGCCAGTCACTGTTCAAGAACCATCTTTTAAAAGACCAGCAGCAGGCAAGAACGGTATTTGGGGGTGCTGGTCCAGAGCAGGCTCAATGTGATCCAGCAGTGTTCCCTGGCAGCCAAGAGGACAAAGAGCATTTTTGGGGTGCATTAAACACAGCATGGGTAGCCAGCCAAAAGAGGTGAGTCTCCCACTGTATTAATGCTGCATGTTAAGGTCCACAATATATATCAATAATAATAATAATAATAATAATAATAATAATAATAATAATAATAATAATAATAATAATAATAATAATAATAATAATAATAATAATAAAAATAAAAAGAAGAAGCCAGAGGATCGCATCGAAGTTGGTAAATGGCTGGAAGGCATGTCCTATGAGGAGAGGCTGAGGACACTTGGCTTGTCTACTTGGAGTAAAGGAGGCTCAGAGGTGGCCTCATTGCTGTCTGCATCTTCCTGAGCAGAGGAAAAGGAGAGGTGGGTGCCAGTCTCTGCTCCCTGGGAGCTGATGACAGGCTGTGTGGGAATGGCACAAAGCTTCACCAGGGGAGGTTCAGACTGGACATTAGGAGCAATTTCTTTACCGTGGGGGTGGCCAACCACTAGAAGAGGCTTCCTAGCAGGGTGGTTGATGCACCATTTCTGTCAGTGTTGAAGAGGCATTTGGACAATGCCCTCAATAATATCCTTTAACGTTTGGGTAGCCCTGAAGTGGTCAGGCAGTTGGACTCAACAGACTTAGTAAGGCCCTAGAAACTGAGCTATTCTAAATTCTGTGTTCTCGCTCTGTATTTGTTCTCCCATTTCCTCCAAAAGTTACTGAAATTTTAAATACTCCTCCCCTATCTTTTGCCTCCTTGTTGGATATCTGTTTCCTGCCTGCCTTCTGTAGCCAGGTAGTTTACTAAGCCAGGTATAGTCCATAAATTGTCTTTAGATATATTCATAAGAAACAGAACAGCATAAAAGTTATTGAACTGGAAATGTAATACTACTAATGTCCTTTCGTTATTCTTTGTCCCTTAAACTCCAGCTCTCTCAAACCACTGTAACTTCATCACTGACCAGGACACAGCGATGTAGGGCACAGTCCTGGAGGACTAGTGGGCCTCTGTGTGCATACTTGACTGTCATTTGACTGGTACTAAACAGGATTTATGATGAATGACTTCTGAATGCTTTTCCATCAGCAGTTTCTCTGTTTCCTCTACTCATACACTATTTTTTGCAATACTTCCACAGAAGAGATAAACTTTGCAACACCTTCATCTTTGACAGACAAAAATTTAATAAATTATTTGGAAAATTGACTGACAAGTATGTAGAAAGATAACTTCATAACATAATCTTGTTTCATTTAGAAAATTAGGCCAAACCCAAAACATGTGTCTTCAATAGCAGCAGGGATACTCCAAATGATATTTGCTGAATACTTAATGGCTAACCACGGTGGCCAGATATAATAGAGACATGTCTTTACCAATTAAGAATTTAGTTTTTCCTTTTTAGTCTGTTTTCTCTAAAGAACAGAAATACCTCTTTATCATTTGTGAATTTAAAATCAAATACCTGCAATTTATACTACATAACACTCTTACAAGAAAACACAAAACCTATATGAAATTAAATCAAATGTTAATAGCATATTTTTGGAAAAGTCTACTGAGATTTTTAACTCCATAGGATTGTGAAATTTGTGACTTACCTGTACCCTTTTAAAACCATTGTCCAGCTCATGATTAAACATATAAGAGATGACAAGACACCCACGATGATCCACACAATCATATCTTTTACTCTGAAATCTATGAAAGAAATGTAATTATTTGAGGATTCACCTAGCATATATACAATCAGAATGATAAAAAAAAAAAAAGAAAAGCAAAAAAATCTCAAATGACTTTTATTTGAAAAACTGTTCTAAGCTGCCAAATTTAGTACTGAATCTGGAGGCCTCTACTAGCACAGACAGATCTCAATATTCATTGCAATATGTGGTAATTAATATACTTAGTATTAATAGCACTATGCAGGAAAAAAATATAGAAAAATGTATGAAGAAGGAAATTTTTGCCAATGTCTGTTAGAGTAACGGTTCAAATCCACTTATACCAACATGGTTATTTCATTATCAAATGGATATCATATAATTAATTAAATGGTGGGTAAAATAATTTAGGATGATGATTTCTGATGATTTCTATTGTAACATGACACTTTTTACATTGAGATGTTTATTTTGAATTCATTTGAGATAATGTGTAATGAAGAGATGTTACTGTCTGAAGGCAGTGATTCTTTGTTGTTCTGATAGCAGTTCTAATGTAGCTACCAGAACTCTCCTAATTAAAAACTACCATCATGAGAACAGATGAGGCAATAAACAGAAAGGATGTTGTTTAAATAAGTAAGGAAATTCATTCACTTGCTTAACTCCTAAAAATAACTGATGAAACAGCTAAGTCAGTATAGTGCAGAGAAGCTGAGAAATGTTACCTTAGCAATGATGTTGCTACCCGTCCTAGGGAAACAATGGGGTGTCAATCTGCATGAGTGCAACTGACAGCTAACAGAAGTATTACACAAACTTGCACTTAATAGCAATTACTGAAAGGATGCCTGGCCACTCACCATTAGGGATCTGAATATACTTTTCTGAGCTCCATTCACTCCATGATCCATGGTGATCTGGTTTGCAGTGAATCTGTACAATGTACTTCTTTCCTGGATTTAAACTAAACATTTTATATTGTGTTTGCTGTCCAACAAAAATAGTCTGGAAATGAATTAAAAATCATAAAATCCATATATAATTAAGACTTTTTTTTTTTTTCTTTTTTCCCCTAGGAAAATCATAGCTAGTTTAGTCTTGATAACCAAGTTGGGAATATAGAAATAACCTGGATCGCTTCCTAATAATCGTTATGCAAGTCATTGAAGTAACAGTACATTTATTTTATTTTTAAATTAATCTATCTAACAGTGCAGTAGGAATGATATCTGGCCCTGCTATACTGTGCAAATTAAACTACTGCAAGGACACATAATGTGGCAAGTATGGCAGGTATGAAGGAACTGTAGTAATGGTGGGAACTGCAATGGTGAGAAGACTGATGCAAGAAATAGTGACTGGGGAAGAAAAATGCTAAGAGGAAAGAAGGAATGTGGAGCTGGTAGAACTGCATAGTTCTAGTAAAGTAGTAAAGAGTGGATCATGCAATGACCAGGGAGCTGGAGAGTACAGTGTTGAGGGAAGGCAGAAGGCAATACAGAGAATACTGTAATACTGGGAAGTATTACAGCAGACAAGGAGGTAATGCAACCATATACTGATAGCTAAAGTCTTTATTTGCCCCCAGTTGTTTGAGTTGCACATCCTGGATACGGACAATAATTACTAGGTGGCCATGACAACTATTATCTAATGGTCATTTGTACAAATTTAAATGATTTTACATAATGCCATTGAGCTTTCTGTTACCTAAGAAGTGCTTGTGGTTGAGAACAAATTATCAGAAAAGAAACCTGACTAAATGAAAACTAACAATTTAAACTAAAATGCCAATATGGTTAATATATGGCCACAATTAAAAATAAGTACTTCATCACCTGCTATCATACAGCAGCATCCGAGATACTAATTTGTCAGTAGGAATCTGTAGATCACACAAGCACTGCTTTTGAAAAAGGATTAAATATTGTGTGCCTGCTTCATTACAGTCGGGCATGTGACCTGACTGACAAACAGTAATTGATCATCTAGCAAAAATTTGTGACATTCTTACCTCCCATTCCTCTCCTTCTTCAGGCTTTAGTCGCAACTCGTATTCAAGGGTAAGCCATCCAGATCTGACATCAGCCAGTGGGGGTGGAGACCATGTCAAGACCAAGTATGGTTTTCTATTCATTGGCTTTTTTAATTCTAGAGTTACATTCACAGGAGGATCAGGCTGGACTGGTAAAATAAAAGAACTGACAGTAAGAGTCTGAACGATTTTTCTTTGCATCTTAGAAGAAGATACGAAATGTTGTGAGTGGTGAGTTGCCATCTCCATTATATCATTAAATTGGAACGGGTGCTGAAATACAGGGATCAAGATTTCCTGATAAAGTAAGCATGGATTTATGAATTTTGGAGAAACTGGAGAACATCAAATATGTGGAGTTCATATTGAGATTTGCCTTAATCATTTATTACCTGAAATATTTTTTTCTTACATTACTATTTATTGTTGCTGTTCCCCACAGCTATGTTTCAAAGTTAACAGAACCAGTTAACATCTTTAACTCTGTGTTATAGAAGTTGTGGTATATCATAAACTTATCAAAGTTGGCATATACCATTAGAAATGCTGTACAAACAGATTTAACTGATAAAAATTGCCCCTTTCAATCTTTAACATTCAGAAAACACAGCAGCATAATCCCAACATGCATAGATAGAAATACTTAACAGCAAAGCAAAACAGATGTTTATAGACAGACACGTCTATAACAAAAATAAAACAAAATGGAATGTAGGTTTCTGCCATAGTCAGGCTTGCAGCTACCTCAGTTCAAAGGTAGAACTCCTACATATAGAGCATGATTTTTACCACTGTCTGATGCAAAGCTTCACCAGGTAAGTAGTCAGGTCATAGAGGTAAAATGTAAAGCCTTTTCTCCATGAGCCCTTTTCCAGATATCAGGCTCCCGGCAGCCACATCCTTGATAGCAAAGTAATTATTGGTGATAATGTTCCTTTCCCTTAGAAAATAACCTACATACTTGTGCACAGTTACTCTGTGTAAAAAGTCTGAGAGAAGAGAGTATCAGCACATTGCTATAAAAAGCACTGATTCGACTTCTCTTGGATCTGAGAAAAAAAGCAAATTTCAGACTTATAGGTAGTCAAATTCAAGTATTTTTAGTTAAAAGATCAATCTGAATTCAGTTGGTGGTAGAGTAGAATTGGATTTTAGCTGGCTGGTGTTTCTTAGGGCTTGACTGAAGGAAATACGTAAAGTCAATGAATGATTTTCTGAATACAGTTTTAAGGCTTTCAGCATTTTTATGATTCCTTTAAAAATAAAATGCTAAAAGGATGAATATTGATTTATTATTATACCAGAGAAGATCTTATTTGTTCTCACATATTTTTAACTTGGATATACTACTATATATGACAAGAGCTGCAATGAAAATTATTGTGTCAATACCCATAATTTTGAATTATTTGTTTCCACAGAAAACACTTATTATCTCTTACCTATGTAAGTCACATCCACATAATGAGGATCAGAGCTGTTACTTCCTATTTCATTAGTTGCCCTGACAGTAATATTGTATATGGTCCAGAAAGAGGTGTGTTTTTTATCAAAGTAGCAGGAATTAGGGCCTGCAGTTCTGTAATCTGGACATTCATAAACTTGTTCTTCTCTGAAATGAAAGAATCATAGTGATTACACAGACTGAAACACCTGACTTTGATAACTAGTAGTTGCATTTGGATCCAGCATGTTTAGGGCTGGATCAGAATCTTTATGCCTGGCAATGTGAAGAAAATCAGAATATTGCTTTCAGACTAAAGAGTAATTGAACAATTTCAGGGACTGTATTAAGCTTTTCCCTTGCAAAACAAAGACTAAAAAGCCTGAAGAGTTTAGGTTGTGGTACATGTTGTTGTGGCTAGTAGAGTACAAATCTTTTCTGAATACCCTTGTCTACTACCTAGCCTCCACAGGTTTCAGAGCACCAGTAGACATAATTGCTACAGTCTTCTAACCTATTTGTTAAAAAAATTAGTATTTTCAATGTTCATTTCACATTTACATGAATTTTTGCCCACATCATATGCTTTCACAATAAATTTTGGTCTTTTACCAAATGTTCCTACAAAAAAAAAAAAACAAAAAAAAAAAACAAATTTGTACGTCCTCCAAATCCATTCACAAACTTCCCAAAGTGAGCAGGTATAGAAGACAAAGTTGATGAAGAATATGTAGCACTTGTTTTCAGGATCCTCTGAGACACAGTATGACTAAAGTTAGGCCTTTGATACCGTCCCTCATGGCATCCTTCTGGACAGACCGTCCAACTGTGAGATGAACAGGTTGATGCTATGCTGGCTAATGGACTGGCTCAACAGCAGAGCTCAAAGAGTTGCAGGGAAAAAAGGGAATGGGGCTATGTCTGGCTGGTGGCTGATCACTAGTGGTGTTCACCAGGGCTCAGTTCCAGGGCCAGTCCTGTTCCACATTTTTATCAGTGATTGGATGCCCAAGTGGAACGCATTTACAGCAAGTTTGCCAGTGGTACTAAACTGGGAGCTGCTGCTGATGGCCTGGAGGGATGTGAGGCCTTGCAGAGGGATCTACATAGACTGAAACATTGGGAGATCAATAGCATGAAGTTCAGCCAAGGAAAATGCCAGCTGACTGGAGATGGAGCAATGCCAAACACAAGTACAACCTGGGAGATGAGTGGCTGGGGAGCCGCAGGACAGGGTCTGGGGGTGCTGCTCCACAGCAGGCTCAACGTGAGCCAGCAGCGTGCCCTGGCAGCCAAGAGGGCAAAGAGCATTTTGGGGTGCGTTAAACACAGCATGGCCAGCCAGCCAAAAGAGGTGATTCTCCCACTGTACTTAGCACTGGTGCGGTCTCACCTTGAATATCAGGTGCAGTTCTGGACTCCACAATATAAAGAGGATGTTAAGGTCCAAAATATATATATATATTGGACCTTTATATATATATATATAAAGCATTTAAGAAAGAATCCAGAGGAGGGCACCAAATCTGGTGAAAGGGTTGGAAGGCATGTCCTGTGAGTGAGGAGAGGCTGAGGACACTTGGGTTGTTTAATTGGAGTAAAGGAGGCTCAGAGGTGATCTCATTCCTCTCTGCATCTTCCTGAGCAGAGGAAGAGGAGACGGAAGTGCTGGTCTCTGCTTCCTTGAAACCGATCACAGAGTGTGTGGGAATGCCACAAAGCTGCACCAGGGGAGGTTCAGACTGCACATTAGGAGCAATTTCTTTACCATGTGGGTGGTCAGCCACTGGAATGGGCTGCCTAGCGAGGTGGTTGATGCCCCGTGCCTGTCATTGTTGGAAATGCATTTGGATAATGCCCTCAATAATGTGCTTTAACTTTTAGTTACCCCTCAAGTGGATAATTCTGGTCATTTGGGAAAGCTTCTGTCTATGGTGCCAAGGAGCTACAGGAGCTACAGGACCGTGCCTTTTTATTGTGAACACTGTTATGCTGTTGCAGCACCATGGCAACAATCAAGGCAATCTATCCATGCCAGTAGAATTCACAGTAATTTTAAAAACCCAACATTATAAAAAGATCCTTTTTTAACCTTAAATATGTCATTACTAGTGCTATTCCAGAATACGTCACTTGCACAAAACCCTATAGTAAACTATAGAAAAGCACTTCTCCTAAATGTAAAACTTAATCTTGATTTTCCATTTCCTTCTGATACAGTACTGAATAATTGTATACAACTTATTACCCTTCTTTGCTGTAAAGTAAAGTGTAGTTGGTAGGACGTCCTCCATCTGAACCAGGTTTCCACCAACAGGTAAATGTTTCTTTTTCTGGAGAACGGCATTTTATTATTGTAGGCTTTTCAGGAGGTAACTCTTCTGCAAGAGGTACATAAATGAACTAATTAGTAAGTTTAATGCATCAGATCAACTCTGAATTTATAAAACAAATTCAAGTGGAGGAGGGAAAATACATTTTTTTCTTTTTCTGCAAAGAAATAAAATGTTTTGCTTCATTATTTACACAGGAAAGAAAGGGCATTCAGTGATTAGAGCAGCAGCCTTTTACTTTGACTTGGATTCAAAATCCTTTTCCACTGCAGCTACACTGAGGAACTACATTTTATTTCCCTGGCTGTAACTTTTTTCGGCTTCCCAAATCTGACAAAGGGTGCTCAAATGCTGTCAGCAGGTTCTGTAAGATTATTTAAAATACACTCTGCTATTTGATCTATTACCTACATACACAGTTGTTTTTTTTCCTTCAAAAATGTGTTTTAAGATGTGGTTGATTATTCAAAATAAATAAATAAATAAATATGCTGCCAGTTGCTTTGGCTTTTACAAGAAAAGAAAAAAACGAATAAGAACATGTTTGCCCATGTCTTTATGTCCCTGCCAGTAATTCTCTCCTGAAGTGCCTATGCTGAGCTGACTCAAAAGATACAAAGAAGTAGTTTTTGTATTTCCTCCTACAGTGATATGCCCAGTACTCACTCTATTTGCCTAATTGCTGCCAAGCAATTTATAATTATCTGGATTCCTGATGGTTGTTACAGACTCAAGCAAAGCAATTAGAATTGGGGTGAAGAAGATGCTTAAATTCTGAATACTTTGATGGTTGTCAAAACCATGATGTGCTTGAAACCTTTGCAGTTACGTATTTGTGGCAAAATATGTTCTCATTATATTAATAATACATATTTTCTACTATTTAGAATGGTGCCATTGATTTTCCAAATTTATAATTGCCTCAGGCAGGTCTGAAAATGGGACATTTACAAAATATTTTTTCTATTATCAGTACTTCAGCAATCTCCATGTCAAATAATGAATAATGCAGTTAGTGACAGAAAAAGAAGATTTGAGACAACCTGGCTAAAGTGTCTGATAACAAGATATGAAGTCATACATATTTAATGTCCCAACAGAACATGGATAATTATTCCCATGTGATAGCAGCTGCAGTGCTATGCTCTGTTATGCTCCTGGCAGTGATTTCAGTCCAGTTGCTAACTAACAGATGAGTGACTCTTACACTAGTACTGCTACCTGGTATATTTAGTTAGGTGAAATCAACATGATTTTAAATGGCAGGACAAGACCAAAAATTATGCAAACACATTTGTATCCAAAGTGACTTCCTAGTAAATCCCAGTCTGTTTGTCATAGCCAGTTTTGGCAGAGGCCAAGTACTAAGTGGATCAGCAAGACTAAACATATAATTACACACAAAATATGGCACGATGTGCTAAGTTGTTCCTCTGACACTATGAAGCATCTTTGTGTGGAATCAGGTTTTCAGGGCTGCCCTTTAGGCACCTTTCACAACACTGAACTGGCTAGAGTGTAAACACAATTAACAGAACAGTAATCATCAACTCACCACTGGGGATCTGAATGCTTTTTTCAGAGCTCCATTCACTCCATTCTCCAAGGTCTAACATGCAACGGACCTGAACAACGTACCTCATCCCAGGATTTAACCTGCTTACTTTATATTGTGTCTGCATTCCAACAGGTATTGTCTGGAAAAATAACATAGAATTGGTCCATTTTAACAAATAAGACATAAAGAAGTATGCTTGTGTCACTGACTTTTGAAAGGTAAGGATTTCAATCAGATATTTTTTAAGATGTTAATTACAAAGTAGTAAAGGTAGTGGTTGAATGAACAGAAAAACCCACTTCGGTGACATTGAGGTTCTGATGCTCAAGTGTTGTAGACTTTCTAATAAGTGCTTTATCAGATCAGCACTGAAAGGAACATTATAGGTAGTTTGACTCAGACAATCTGTTTAATGCCTCTTAGTGGTTAGTTTTAGGTCTTACTATTAAGTGCTTTACTTAGGCCCTTTAAACATCTCTTCAGAAGTCTTTCAAGATACATAGCTTTCTCCATTTGTAAGGCATCATCAATTTAGGTAGCATTGAGACCATCTGAATATAACTTTAAGAAAGATATTTTATCCTGGTATCCCAGCTGTGGGAGTACTGTGGCCCACTCCTAGCAAAATGACAACAATTGGGAATTTCAATGTAAATAGTGTGAGTAGAACACCCCAAGCTTTCAGACAATGGAGGTTTGCTGCAATTAATCATGTTGAGGATGACAATTCTCAGCCCAATTAAATAGTAACTAGGGAATTACTGACATCTGAAACACAGTCAGCTTGAAAAACAGCACTAAAGAAGCATGGAAATTTGGTGAGGGGAAACTGGAAACAGCAGCTGTAGTTGAAATTCAGTGTGACGCTATCAGAAGCTGCTCTGCTAGTACCATGACCTCTGCCTGAGCCAGACAGAGCAGCACAGCCTCTCTCTCTGGTGCTGTGGGTATCTGCACTCCAGGCAGTTTGGATATTATGATTTATCTGTTGTATTGCTGACACTGATTTTTGACTGCATAGTTAACTGATTGCTCATTAATTATATTTTAATGAATCATTAAACTGCTTTGATCATGATTTGGCTTAAACTATGCAAACTTAGCAGTGTCTTATGATGGCAACAGACACTTTAATGAAAATGTACAATTAAATATTCTATCAGTGGGTTAAATAGATCTATTTATCTTACTTCTTAGTATATTACATATCAAGGACCATTATACAAACACCATGAATTTCACTGTCTCTGTAAGTTCTGACAGTACTTCTTTTTTTTTAATCAATTTGGTTACAGTATTTTTGTATCCCTATAGAAACTAAAATTTTTATAGTACCAAATAAAATCTGATAAGAGAACTTATTGAAAAGCATTTATACAACATTTTTCTTCCCTTACCTCTTGCCACTCTTCCTTTTCCTCAGGTTTCAGTCGTAGTTCATAGTGATATACATGTGAATTAGAGCTGGCATCAGCTAATGGAGGTGGAGACCATTTTGCCCAAAGGTACGTTATACTAGCAGATGTTTTTGCTTCTAGAGTGAGATTCACAGGAGAACCTGGCTGAACTGTATAAATAAAAAAATTGTCATTAATGATTTAATTTTCTGTCAGAAAAGCTACCTTCTTTAAACAGTAGCTCTGTGAAGGAATGATAAACAAGGCTGCTGAACAAAGGGCATGAAGTGATGTGATAGGGAGGGATCACAAAATCACAAAAGATCACAAAATGAGGATTAAGCAGGGTCGCCCCCAGTGCTTGCAGGTTAGCAAAGAAATGCCTGCATTATGGAGAAATCCCCCAAACACTTCATAGGAACACAGCATATTGGGGTGTTCCATCTTCAGTGCCTGTACACTAATGCATGCAGTATGGGGAATAGAGAGGAGTTAGACACATATATATGGTTACATGGCTATGTTCTCATTTAAATCACAGAGACATGGGGATATAGCTGCCATGACTGGAGTGTTGCAGTGGAAAGATGCAGACTCTAGGAAGAACAGACTGGGGAGATGAGGAAGAGGCATTGCTCTCTATGTCAATGATCAGCTGGAGTGCCTGGGGATGGATGAGGAGCTGACAGCGAGTTTATGGGAAGACATGGCTAGGTGATCTACAGTGAATGTAAGCAAGGACAGGTAACCTGAGTGGAATACAGAGAGATTGTCAGAGCATCCAGGGATGGAGTTAGGAAAACTAAAACCCAAATGGAATTGAATCTGGACAGGGACATCAAAGACAACAAGAAGGGCTTCTACCAATAAATCAGTGAAAAAAGGAAGACTAGCGAAAATGTGTGCCCTTAAAGGCCTGGCTACACAGGACAGTAAAAAGCCTGAAGTACTGAATGCTTCTTTAAGTCAGTCTTTACCAAAAAGACCAGCATTCAGGAATCCCAGGTCCCAGGGTGCAGGCTGAAAGACTAGAGCAAGGAAGAGGTATCCTTAGTGGAAGAGGATCATGTCAGCGAACATCTGAGCAAAGTGGACATGCGCAAGTTCATGGCCCTGATGGGATGCACCCACAAGTGCTGAGGGAGGCAGCAGATACGACTGTGAGGCTACTCTCTATCATCTTTGGTCAATCCCAGAAATTCAAGAGAAGTGCCCAAATACTGGAGGAAAGCAAGCACTCAACTCTAAGAAGGGCAAGAAGCCCAGGGAACTCCAGGCTGGTCAGCCTCACCTTGATCCCTGAGAAGGTGATAGAACAGCTAATTCTGGAAACCATTTCCAAGCACATAAAAGAGAAGAAAATCATCCGAGGTAGTCAGCATGGATTCACCAAGGGGAAGTCACACCTCACCAACCTGATAAATATCTATAATGAAATGACCAGCCTGATGGATGAGGGGAGAGCAGTGAGTATTGTCTTCCTTGAATTCAGTAAGGCCTTTGACTCTGTCCCCAGTAAGATTCTCACAGAGAAGCTGTTGAAGTGTAGGCTGAACAGGTGGGCCCAGAGGGGGTCAATGGTGCAAAGTCATATTGAAGTCCAGTAGCAAGTGGAGTACTAAGTGTCAGTACTGGCTCCAGTTCGGTTTAACTTCTTCATTAACTATCTGAACAACGGGGTAGAGTGCACTCACAGTAAATTTGCAGGTGACACAAAACTGGGGGACTGGCTAACTCACCAGAGGATCACACAGCCATCCAGAGGGACCTCAACAGGCTGGAGAGGTGGGCTGACAAGAATCTCGTGGAGTTATCAAGGAGAAGCACAAAGTCCTGCACCTGGGGAGGAACAGCCCCAGGCACCAGTATGTGCTGGGGGCCACCCGGCTGTAGAGCAGCTTGGTAGAAAAAGACCTAGGGGTCCTGATGGACACCAAGTTGAATATTAGTCAGCAATGTGCCCTTGTCACTAAAAAGGCCAGTGGTATTCTTGGCTATATTAGTCAAAGCATCACCAGCAGGTCAAAAGAGATGATCTACTTGGTGCTGGTGTGGCTGCACTTTGAGTTCTGAGTCTACTTCTGCATCTCCCAGTACAAGAGAGACATGGACATACTGGGAAGAGTCCAACGGAGGGCCACCAAGATGACAAAGAGACTGAGGAACCTTTCCTGTGAGGAGAGGCTGAGGGAGCTGGGACTGTTCAGCCTGGAGAAGAGGAAGCTCAGGGGGGGATCTCATCAATGTGTATAAATACCTGCAGGGAAGGTGCAAAGAGGATGGAGCCAGACTGTTTTCACTGTTTCCTACTGCCAGGACAAGAGGCAATGAGCACAAACTGGAACACAGCAGGTTTTGTCTGAACATTGGGAAGCACTTCTGTGCTGTGTGGGTGATGGAGTACTGGGACAGATTACCCAGAGAGGTTGTGGTGTTCTCCCTCCCTGGCGAAGTTAAAAATCTGCCTGGATGTGGTCATGGGCAACTTGCTCTAGATGTACCTGCTTGAGCAGGATAGTCCAGATGACCTCCGGAGGCCCCTTCCAACCTCAACCAATATGTTATTTCTGTGATTTGTTTTGTATTTCATTATATTAATGTCAGATAAATATCCCCTTCTCTGAGAGCATAGTACAATAACATTTTTTTTTTCTTTCTCCCTAATGTTTAAGTGGATACCAATTTACCACAGTATCAGCAGATCTTACACATCTTTCTGAATTTGTCAGGCTAAGGAAATACATATCATAATTTCATCAGGTTACTCTTGTAAAATGAAAAAGTCAGATATTTCATAGGTAAAAAACTGAGTACATTCTAGAATATATGTATGCAAAAAAAAAAAATATGGAATTAAGAACATGAAATATTTGGAAACAAACAAAAAAAAGAAGTGAAGTGCTTGGGCAGTTATTTTTACCCTCCCAAGATTGCAATGCCAGCAGCCAGAAAGATGTTTATATTTGGAAAATTTAGTCTGGAACATTTCAGGTAGTTTGACCTAATTTGAAAGTTTTATAATCTGCTCTGCAAGGAACCTACAAAACTGTCTAAACTCAATTAAGACTAATTGACATACTGGAGTTTACTAGAAACTGGTGACAATTTTTCAGACAAGATAAAAATGATAATAGAATATGCAGTTACTTAATTTGTAAGTAAAATACATTTTCCACATAAATTACAGGCACATATTTTAGATCATCTGTAGATAAACACTTCTCCATTGCAAGCTTCACATCATGAGGAAAGAAAACTTTCACCACTACTTGTCCTGAAATTAAAAAACAGATACATCTCCAACTAGTTTTTTTCCATTTCATTCTTTCCTTTTTACCTATTGAGGTCACATCCACATACTGAGGATCCGAGCTGTTACTTCCAATCTCATTCGTTGCTGTTACAGTGATATTATATGTTGTCCATGGATTAGTGTGGTTTTTATTGAAGTAGCAGGAATTGGGACCAGACGTTCTGTAGTCTGGACATTCATAGATCTTTTCTTCACTGAAATAAAATGATTTAAAAAGTTCAAAAGTTTAGAAAACGAATCAAAGTAGATAATTTTCTAGTAATGGCCTAGGTTCAGCGAAGAAATTTAAAATGTTTAACATTAAGTCTATATATAATCCCACCCTCTGGGAAACATTTCAGTGAGTGTCAAATGCTATTACCATAAATGCTCCTTTGAATCATAAGCTATTTTTACTGCAGTTGTTCAGGATGAAAGCTTTTGTCTGCTTTTTTATACATAGGAATATGTTGACAAAAGCATGGAAAGTGAAATTTCCAGAGACAGCACAAGGCAATTTTCAAAATGTTTCAAAGCAAGTTAAAAGGCAAATTAAACACATTCACTTTGACTAAAGAAGAAAAGTTGCTAAATACCTCCTTTACATTCTCTGGAAAGTAACCTGGTGGGCCCTAAGGCCAAGGACTATTTTATTGATTATTTTGCTTTCAGCAATGTATTCTTCTATCTGCTTTTGAATGTGATGATCATCATGTCTCTTACCTATTACCTTTGAGTCTTCATATTTTTTAGCAGAGGGATTGTTTTGTACTCAATTAAAGCTGAACTAGGTGAGAAGAACTGTACAAACCCAAAGTACTAGTTGAGATGGCTCCAAGGTAGGTCTTAGTCCCATTGTTATGCTCTATGCATCACTAATAACAAAGCCTTTCAGTATCCAGGTAGTTTTGTCTGGGTTCACAAAGCAAAGATATAAGTATATCTGAGAGACAATAAAGGTAACTATGGCTCAGATCTGGAGTGCTTGGCAATGCCTAGTTTAGGCATTAGCAGATCTAATAAAACTGACAAGGATCTATCACTCTCTCCAGATGGGGCAGTTCTGGGCTGTGACATGTGACTTAAGAGGCTCAAAATAAGTTCTGTTCTGATCGAAACTGAAACATATGGATTTTCATAAAATAAAAGCTCCACAGATATGCTCACTACAGATGAGGGGAGCATCATCTCTCTCTGGTTACTGTTGATTGTGGTAACTTTATTAAAAATTGTAACTTTCTTGATCAATTAATACATATGATCTGGAGCTGGTTTAATTTAAGCAGGGAAGTCTGAGGCTTTACCTTATCTATTCTGAACCTCACCGGATTTATTCAAAAAGATTCAATATCTGAGCCTCCATGCTTGCTTGGATGTGTTCTTAGACCTCTTTTTTTCAGGAAGAATGGGCATTTATACAAAGAAGCACAGGTTAAGCAAAGTAGATAAACACGTACACATTTTATTTGTAAACAGTATGAGGGAGTCACAGATTTACCAAAACAGCAAGTTTTGAGATGCAACACCCACACCTGGTTTTATTCCATTTTGTGAACAACCAGGCTGGCTACGAATGCAGAAGGGGATGTAAAGTCTCTCAGATTTTGTCCAGATGTGGGTTTGCTGTGCATATTAATGGGAAAGTTCCATGACAGGGCCCTGAGGGCACCACCAGCCCTTACTGTCACTGCCCAGCCTCCCCTGGGGCCTCCCCTGACCCTGCCTGTGGCCAAGACCCCACTTCGTCCCACCGCACTAGGGCCGGTCTCCATCTCGCCCCCACCATGCCATGGGCCCCATCAAGACAGCCTTGGCCTGCAGGCTGACACCTCTGCCCAGCCCCACCTTGTCCTGTCCCTGTCCCCATGGTGGTGACCTGTGCCTGGGTCTGCCCCTGGGCTACCCTGCTCAGGGGTGGGATGGGCCCTAGCTGGTGGCCTTGCTTTTTCTGCCCCAGGGAAGCCCCTGCAACCCCCAGGTGGCCTCTGGCCCTCATGGTGCCCTGATACTCCCCTCCTCAGAGAAGGATGCTGTTCAGATAAAAGCTGTGTGCCTTCTGAAAAAGGGACAGACTATGTCTTTCCCAGTATGTGTTTAGAGCAGGGAAATTAGCTCAGACGAGTTTCAGTAGGGACAGGCTGAAAGTTTGGTATTGGTTGTAGCCATGTTCTTTTCCACCAAGGGAAACCCATTCAACTGTATAGCCCTTGTTGGCTATTTGAGGTGTCACATGGATTCATAAAACTGACTTTCACAAATTAGTGTTATCATTCCCTCATTCTGTCATAATCATGACTTGACAACTTACTTATTCATCGCTTTTTACCTGTCCTTGCTGTAGAACAGGGTGTAATTGGTAGGAAGTCCTCCATCTGAACCAGGCTTCCACCAACAAGAAAAGGTTTCCTTTTCTAGAGAACGACATCTTATTATCTTAGGTTTTCCAGGATATGATTGACCTAGAGAAGTGCAGAAATCCAGCTAGTTATATTAGGGTTGGACAATGTTTTTTGTTGTAGTTGTTGCTGAATGGCAAATTCAACAAGAAATGCTTGAAAAAAATAATATTATTTGAACCTATGAACTGAATTTGGTAAATAAATCTGCCTGGGAAAAGGGCCGAAACTTTCAGAAAAGTAAATATATATTATCTCAAATTTCTGAAACAGCTTCTAATACTTTGTTACTTCTCTTTGAAAATAAAAATGTCATTTTAACCTAACCTTTGAAAATGTTCAGTAATCTCAAAAATGAATTAAAAAGCATGGAGTCAAATGTATGACTTTTTTTTTTTTTTTTTTCCTAAAATATCCCAAATCTTTACCTTTGGGTCATCTTAGAATTAAATTTCACCTCCAACTTTGCAACAGAACCAAAATTCCATTATTTGCACAACTCTAAAATTATCACATATTTGGGGTAGATTATAGATATGACAAATTAGAGAAAGATGGAATCAATGGGATGGATGGAATATTTTGTGTGCTGGCGACCTGTATGTATTCATTAATTATTTGAATATTCCATTATAATCTAGATACATTTTAAAATACTTCCTGTTAAAATTACTTGTCATTAACTTCCAACAAGAAAATAGACCATAAATTTACATATTTTTTGACATGAAGAGCATGTGGCTTTTCAACCTAAGCTTACCTTTACTTCATTAAAGTTCCATACCATATCTCTAATTGTGTTACTATTCAAATGATGCTAATTCCCAAGAAGGTGACAAGGACGGAGTGAGTGCAGGGACGGAGTGAATGCCTTTCATCATCACCACCACTTTATCATTAAATTAATACTATAAAAAGAAAAGAGGACTCAAGCCATTTTCAAAATCTCCATACAAAACTTTAAAATAATTCAATTTAAATATTTACAGGTTCCAGTGATGGTCAGGATAGATCAGGTAAAGCCTCAGACTTCTAAAGGAAGTGTTTTAAGAAAAACAAGTGTTTCAGGAAGTTTTGTACTTACCAGTCAGTCCCATTGCAGTAAGAGGAAGCAACAATATAATTTGAATTGATGACATCAATTTCTGCTTCATGGTGCCCACTTCCCCCAAGGTGGGAGTATCGGATCAAGGGATCACTGAAAAATATACCATCATGCAACAGTCAATAAAAATATGTAACGTAATATGTATCCATTGGCTTGATCAAAGTTCTTTTTGACTTGCAGCTAATTGATTCTTGTTCTTTCTCAAAGAGGTGCAGCATGAGTTACATTTCCACTTCAGAAGAAGAAAACCTGAACTGAAGAGTAGTAAGTAGATCTTGCTTAAGGTTTTTGAATGGTTAGCAGTGCTGGGATTAGGCTTTCACAGCATTAACTAATCTTGCATATTTATTTGGCATCTTGGGACACAGGATGCTTTTCTTAAAGTTTTAACTTCTGACTCATTAATTTACCTGAGAAATCAGACTCTTAATAATGAAAAATATATGTTTATCTCTGTTAAGATAAAGAAGATCTCAACATTTTTGAACTCTGGAGGTCCTGAAAACAGAAGATAACTAGAAAATATCCACAATTTATACATATGCTTAGGATTTTTGAGCCAATTTCATGACTTCTGAATATTTGGGACTGGCAATGTTGAATTCAGATCACCTGAGCTTAAGAGTGCTACTCATTCTATGTATTCAGCTCATTGTTTTTACTGCATTTAATTTTGCAGGAAAGCAAAAATGCCAAGAACAGAGAAAAGAAACCAAGGGAAAAGTAGTGTAACTTCACAGTTAATTTACCAGGTGGAAACCCAGTACAAGATGCAATTATCCCTCTTTCTTCAGCCTGTAAAGGCCAGAGGCAGTGTTGCAGAACTCAGCTGAAATACAGTGGGAGGGCACCAGCTCTGGAGCCCCAGTGCCTGCAGAGGGCTGACACCACTAGGTGTCCTCAGCATTCAGGTTACAGCTCAGGGTAATCGGGAGCCCCTGGTGCTGCTAAATCTGTTTAGCCTGAAGAAAAAGGCAGAGTATGACTTGAAGCAAACCTCCTGCTTGTCCCACCAACAAACTTCCTGTGTGGAGATGGTGACTGGAGTCTGCTATCAGATACCCTGTAGCCAACCTTACTCTATGAAACTAAAGAATAACGATTTACTGTCTGAAAAGGAAACTCCTTACCTCATCTTTCCACTCCTACCAAGCACATCCAACGGGTATTTTGTGCTTGAAACCTGTTCAGTGTAGAACAGCGTGAGAACAAGCTGTCTCTTTGCAGAGGAAAAATTCTTTGTGGTTTATCAGATGACTCAATTTTCATTATGCAATTCATTTTCTGTATCAAGAAACTACAACCCATCAGCACAGAAATGTTTCTCAAGCGCACAGCCAAATGAAGTATCAGTCAATTTAACTGATTCTAAAATGTGTTTATTGTGGACGAAGTGCTAAAGAACCACAGTCAGCTACACTTTCATAGGCTTTGTCTGAATATCCAGGCACACTTCATTTACGCAACTGAGCTACACTGCAGAATTGCATCTGTGTTGATTTTAAACTTCCTTACAGCAAACTGTGCATAGAGTGTCAATGTGGAGCACACCATTTAAATATAAACTCCAGTATTGTGTAATCACATGCAAATTTTATGTCTGTAAACAAACTGCAGGCCCAACTGTTAGTGTTTAACTTCTGAAATGAGCTGAAAACTTGGTGTTATGTAATGCAGAATGCTGACCACTGAGTTCATGCAAGGAAGAAGCATGTTCTTCTCAAGGTGAAATACTGAACTATAAACAGTAACCATTTCATGTACATATGATAACACAATATTTCATCATTATAACAAACAGACAAGAGTTGAATCTTTGCAAAATATAGCACTTTCAAACTGAGACTAATACTATGCTTCCCTATAGGTAAATTATACCTGTTATTTTATTTTATTTTATTTTATTTTATTTTAGAGACACATCTTTTCTGTGTGATGAAAGATAGAGAGGCATCATCAAGAAAGAGCTGAAGCAGAGCACACTACAAGGTAAGTAGGATCATTTTGGAAACTGAATACCCAAAGAATCAAATTAACAGAAATAGGGTGAAATTAATTAATTTGTAAACAAGTATTTTTTTCCTAGGATCATTTGTTGTTTAAAAATGAGATGATCATGAGCCACTTCTGTGATGTGGCTGTGAAAAAGAACAGGAGAGATACAGTGGAGGGTTATGGACTTGTTACTGCCCCATACTAAATGTATGGGACATAAAAACTCCATATGCAGGGAAAAACAACAACAACAACAACAACAACAAAAACAACAAAAAAAACCATACACATAACTAAATAAAAAGGTTAACATAGTTAGAATGGATATAGAAAACTACTGATATGAGAAGGGAACACAGAGGCTGTCTCATGACTGAGATTTAAAGAACTGGCTTCTTACTCCTTTCAAGGATATGGTTGTCTTCTATAGGCATACCAGGGGACTAGAATCAAAAGAGGGAATGTAAGAATGTATGAACTCTACAAAATGTTGAAACAAGAATAAATGGATGTAATTAGTTCCAAAAATTAGGGGAAAAAAATGACAGCAATCAATTTCTGCAATAGTCTTCCAGAAGCAAAAATCCCATTTAGTTTTCCCAGGAAGTCAGATGTATTATGAAATATATATGCCATGGTTGTTTGTGATAGCTGGGAAGTGGGCTTTATGATCCAATATGTGCTTTCTTGGCTATTTCAATGCAATTTATATACCTTGAATTATTAGTAGATAGAAAACTGTGCACAAGCATGAGATGGTTGGATATCCTACTTTACATTCAGAATTTAATGCTTTCAAAATATTTTCTGTTAAAGAATTATGAGAACCTCTGGTTATTTGATCATAAATATGTCCTTAAAAGCATCTAAGAAAAGCATCATTCTATTTGACATTTGTATTACTTTCTAAAGGATCGTCAGCAGCAGCAGAGCAGTGGCCAGGAGGCTCCAGGCATATTAGCCATATTCCATTTGTTCCAGTGCCTGTGTTTCCATGGTTGCTTGGTATTTGGTATTTTTGGTGCAGATATTTCTTATAAGGCCTCTGAAGAGATCTCTTGTTTTTAAAAATACTTGCTTTAATAGAAAAAAATAATGTCCACTTTGTTGTAACTATATCAAAAGGGTACCTTCCCTATATCTGACTTGAAAATCTTTTCATAAAAGGATAACTGGTACTAATGAATATGCTGTAGGGAATGACTCTCTTTTTGGACTGAATACTTTCTTTTATAAGGGCTACAGTGGACACTGATTTGCTAGAACATCATGCAAAACCAAGGCTAAAGTAACTGATAACTAAAAATCATATGCCTCCTTTTTGAAGGTTTTGATTTAGTTCCAACAAAGTTATTACATTCCGACATTGTAGTTGAATTTATTCCTTTTAACACAGCTGTTATGCAGCCTTCAATAGCTGCATATTGAACACCCCAAAATTGTGCAGCTGGATGCGGACAGAAATCATTACCAAAGTATTAGAAATCACAGAAAAAAGTAGTGTTATATATTACTGTAAAATAACCCTACTGTGTAATTAATAATAATATGAAATTTTAGCATTGAAAACACTGCTTATATTGCAGCTGGATGAAGCTGGAAGTTAAATACCATTACTGAATCTGGTGGTGCTGTGAAGCAGGGTTGAGAGATTGTCCTTGTCCTACTTTATTTGTAGCTCTTGTTGTGTGCTGATAGATACATTTCTCGAGACTGACAGAGAAGTCTTTACCTAGTTCTGCACAAATGGAAATATTTCTATCTGTGCTATTTTCAGGCTTGCAGGAAGGGGAAACAATTGCACTGCATCCACTGTCAATGGTATTCTGTCCATCACAGGCTTTGTTTGTGCTGCCAAAGGGATCTAAAGCCCGAAGTGCTCTACCAATCCATACTGAACAAGATTCACATTCTGACTCGTTAGGATGATAAATAATGCTCGTCTCTCAGGCCTAGGGGAAGGCAATTTAAGGAGTCTCAAAACACCACAGTTCATTATCATTTGAAAGAGTGAAGTACAGCTGTGTGAAACCAAATACCAATAAAGAACGGAATAAAGCAAAAAATGTGGCAGTTTGCTATACCATCCAGAATCCTACTGGCCTGTAGCTGAATGCTGAATATTCATTCCACTATTCTGTGGACATCGCATGAGTCTGCCTTCCTATGCTGAGTTCTTATGCCAACACTGATGACTTATGTCCCTAACGGTGATTTAGGCATAGCTATCGTTAGGTGTGTTTCTGAATGATGGTGGTTGGCATCATACTGAAAACTAAAGGTGTGCATGTGCAGTGTGTTCTGGGCTCTGCTCTCCCACCCTGCATGAGACCTAACTGGAAGTCTCCAACTTCTAAGTCCCTCAGGCAACCTTCATGGAGGTATATGAGCTCTTGAGAAGGCAGGCAGTTCAGACATGCCTCTGATCTACATTTCTTGAGACTAATTCCAGGTGGCTACTTCTAGCATGTAGGTTTTGTTGGCTGCTTTGCAGAGACGCATCAAGTTAATTTCTTGGGACCATGCACTTCATATTTTTGTGTTGTGTAACCTGAAGGCACCTATACCTTCCTTTAGATTTCACCTAAAAAGCCTGTATCAGGTTTTCTAATATGTTTTTTCCTAAGTTCCTCTCAAATAAATCTTGTCCTAAGGACCCTTTGTAGTCCTTTTGTAGTCCAGGATGATGAGTAGAGTAACTTTGTTCACTGATGCGGAAAAGACAAAATCATGAAAGCCCATACTCCTGAAAATATTTTATATACGCAAGTCACTCTCAAAGTATTTATGCACCTAACCTAATCTATGCCTATTGATTTTACAGAACTGAGCCTGGAGTTCTTTTTAAAAGTCTCAGCATCTAAACTGACATGACAGGCCAAGACAACTGGAAGAAAGCACCACTATCCCTCCTTTACAGAGTGGGAACCAATACAGAAAAAGATTAAGTGCTTTGCTCAAAATCATACTAGACATGGACAAGCTAAAAACTGATCCTTTCTCACTATCTTTTTCCCCCCAGAACATCACCAATTCCACCTTTGTAAAACCATAAAACTGTTAAACATGATCTATCTAACAATGGTAATTTTCCTCCACCAGTCTCATGGCTCTCAAAGATTCTGTTTTCTTCTGGTGGTCTGTGTGGTTAATCATATTTCATGATTTTTATCTGTATAGAATTCTTTTCAGACCAGAAAAGTATAAGCTGTAAGGAGAAAAATTTTAGAGACTGAAAATTAACATTGAAGTTAGAACTTGAAAATTGCTCTTTAAATACGGTGGAAATGCATCTCAACCAGTTGCTAAGTCCTACTCCACAGTCATTATCCCACTGTGACACTTTTAATTATTATTTATACATAGCATATTCATGAAATATAAATTCTAATTTCCTACCTAAAGGATTCATGTATGCAAAGAAGATTTTTGTTCGTGTCTTTGGTGAATGTCAGATCACTTGATAATCTGCAAGAAAAAAAAGAGTAGTTCCAGGATTAGTATATTACTGGAAGTATTGCTACTTTATTCATAAAACACAAAGAGGAAAAAAAAAAGAAACAAAAAACCCTGTTCATTAGCTGATTCAGATACTGACAGTCCAAGTCAATACATTTAAACATTGAGAGCAGTAGCAACTATTGTAAAATACCGTGTTACTTTACAGTCTTTCCATTATCTGTTTCAGTAAGAGCATAATTTTCGGTTTTAGCAATTTAGGATGCAGCCCAGCTTTACTAGTAGATTGTGCTAGGTTATATGATTAAAAGCTAATCACCATATACACAAAAGCCGGGACAGGATCAGATGAAAAATGACGGGGTGGGGGGAGGAACCCTGGCAATCTAATCAGTGAAAATGGGGCACAGGGAATCGGCTACGCCTAAGACTACCAAAGAAAACAATCAGCCCATTGTCCCTTGTGCAGAACCCACCAGGAGGAGTCAACCAAACAAATTCCCTTCCCAGTACATGTTGCTGAGGGATGGTGGTATAGCACTCATTAAGGGATGCAGCAAGAAAAGAATTTGGGGAATGTGGCAGTCTTATTAAGGGATAGTGGAAGGACAAACAGCAGGGAAAGGAAGGGATCAGAGTGGACTGGGGGCAAACAAGCATGGGAAAACAAGGAGAAGAGGGGAATAAAGGGGCCAGTCAAGTGTAAGCTTGCCTGACTGGGATGCGTGCCTGATCACCATAGCCTACCCTATACCCTCATTAAGTTCTATTTCTGTTGTCTGGGTGTGCTCTGCGCGGGGTGGGTGCATTTGTGTGCTGGTGAACTTCCAGCTAGATTAGTCGGTGAGGAGGGTGAGAGCTCTGAGTGGGATTGCAAACCTCTGGGCTCATGTGCAACTCCCCAGCAACTGAGGACATCAGCGGACGTGGTGCCAGCTACTGGGTGTACAGCCAACCTAACACTGGAGTGTCCAGTGGCCACTGGAGTGGTCCACGTTTTGTGCAAATACACGCACATACAAATCTCTAGCACATTGGGAGCAGATGCTCAGTTTTGTTACTGGCAGGCCCTGAGGACATGGATGCGCAGCAGTCTCAAATCTATTGAGCTACCTGACTCAGCTACCTCTAATGGACTGAAATTCAGTGGTTTATTAAAAGAGCCACTGTGTGCAGTTAACTCTTCTTTGTCATCCCATTTGACTACACTCTGCTGTTAAGAAATAGTCTAGATCAGCTTCACTGGGCAATTTATCTGCCACGGCAAGAAAAACTATACATTAAATTACTAACTCCATCATCCTATTTCTTATGAAATGTCTCTCTTTAAACAGTTTGAAACAATAGAGTATTTTACAACTAACATTGAGAATGGTCTGGATTTGCCCAGAGACCAGGTGGGAAGCTGTATTACTCAGTTACCAGGGTATTCTTTTGTTTGGCTCCATTTCAGTAAAGCTAATAAGAACAATAAAAATACCATGAAATCATCTGGCAGCTAGACACTATGCCGTTACAGAGGAACAGATTTAATTGAGGGCAATAAACAATTTATTTTTTATGTGCATATATAAAATGGCATAGATAACATACAACTGAATATGGCAAAAATATGTTTGCACTGAAGTTACTCAACTGTGGCATAAGGTGAAAAGTAGTTCAAAGATGGAGCTCAGTGAATTTTTTCCTGTTTTAAGGAGGACAGGAATCTGATAATCAGTTTCAGAGCTGGGAATAGAGTTTGACTCAAGGTTGGCTAAATAAAGGATTTCTCCCAAAATACAAGATGCCTTGTAGATCTTGATCATGTCATAAAAACTTTTTAAAAATGAAGCAATTATTCCGCATTTAAGAGAGAGTCTAGTTCTAACAGAAAACACATAGTTATGATTGCTAAATTATTGCTAAATTAAAAATTTTGAAAATCACTTTTTCCTGCAGTCTGCTATGTTTAGAAATAAACCTTCCTCCACTTTTTCAGATTTCTGTAACTTATAATTACAAAAAAAAAAAAAAAAAAAAAAGTTCAACCCTGTCACCAAATTTTATTCTTCTGTCGTGACTGCTTTCATCAGGAAGTGATACCACGAACTAGTGACAGATCCCTGTGTAATATGACTGATTTAAAAAGGTCAATTTTACTACAGCTACGCTAGTAGCTGTATAGTAGCTACTGGATTGTTTGTATCTCAGTGCTCAGAAAGGTTAATGATAGAATTGGTCATATCACTGGCATAACCCAGAACAAAGACACTCAACCAAGGTATTTCTGTATCAAATTGCTAAAATCTTACTTATTATTATAGCCCTGAGAAGAAAGACATAATCCGACCGTGTTAAATATAGTACTAAGAAGAATTCATGTTCCTGAATAACTGAAAAATAACAAAAAATACAAAGTAGAAGAAAGGGATATAACAAACAGGTCAAAACAAGAATATTTTTGTTTTGAAACTAAAGATTATTTTCATTACCAAAAATAAATAAATAAATAAAAATATCCCATAAAATGGAAACTGCTTACGAAGAACAAGTTTTGGAAAATCTTCACTTTAGATTGTCAAAAAATCTTTTTTGACTAAAAGCAATGCATGCAGATTTTCAAAATTCTAAAAGTAATAAATATCACCAAATAACTTCCAACAGAAAACATTTTGTTTTGAAATTTTCTAACAGAACATTTTTTGAAATCTAAGTAGAGTATGCAAATAATTTTAGCTCGTTAATAACTTTTTTTTTTTCCGTGAAAACATGTGATGTTAAATTTCTGATAATCTTCAATTATACACAGAATTTCAACAATGAATGCAATGGCATGAATTCTTTTACTATCCTCATATTTTTGGTGACATGCTAGAATGAGTAAAACTTTTCAGGAAGCAGAGGAACAGGACTTTGGAAGTAGTAAAGGAAACATAGTAACAAAGAAAATTGTGAAAGATTTGTGGAGTGAATATGAGGGAAAACTGTAATACAGAAGGACAGAGAAGTGGGAAATAACAAATAAAAAGTTGGCAGTGGGCAGTAAAGGGTTAGATAAAAGTGTAGTTTAAAATATATTCTAGTACCCCCTTTGATTTTCAAAGCTTCTTCCACTGGATTCTACCCTAGATAACATCTTTTTTGTGAACATGTGATGGGGTTGAGCAGAGGAGAAAAAAAATCTCTAGATCTTAGTGCCTGCAAGCATCAGTATGGTAATGCTGAAGAAAGCTGTGACCTTAGCTCTAGCACAGACTCTTATTCTCTGTCACTGAAACAGCCCCTTTTGGCTGAAGTCTCTCTTCAAAGCCTTATGATTGTGGTAAGGCTGTAATAGAAGGAACCTGGCTGCAGGGGAAAAAAATCTTTTTCTTCAATCACAAATATACTCAATAATTAACAATAGCAGCGGGAGCGGAGAAAACTATTGAAAAAATAATTGTTTTGCTGTTACAATGTTCTCTTTTTCAGGAGGTCCTCAGTACGAGGTCATAAAAGCAGCTGTTTCTTTGTCTTTTTCTAAGTATATGCTGTACACTTAAACATGTACTGCTTAAGTGACTGTAGAGTTGCTCCATAAAAGAACGCAACTACCAAAAAGTACTACTCCAACCAAACTGGTATAAACTCTCAATGTACTATGATCTGTGAACAAGAACATTTCCCAAGCATATTCCCCAAGCTTCAAACTTGATAGAAGAGCTTCGTAGTTGCATGCTGAAGGCTGCTAATGCCACATACGGATGAAATGGCACACTGGTTAGCTAAGGTAATGAAATCCCTTATCCCGGTCTAAAATTGAGATAATTTTTTCTTACAATTATTTGAGAGAAACAGCTGACAATAATGTGAATAAAAAAAATATTTAACCTTCACCCTTCATTTTACCAAGCTTAAAACAATTAATCTTTTTGCACTGCTGACTTAAAGCATTATATTCCCTTTAATATTAGAACTATGTGGATATGCAGGGAGGTATCTTTATCCCACCTAGCTCTAATCTTGTTGGAATTTTGTAGATATTCTCCGGCACCTAAATCCTAAATAGACTAGAGTTTAACTCATTTTATACAATTATTTTCTGCAGGTGTTTAGATAGCTGGTGTTAATCCCTAATGTGAGTAGAAACCACATAATTTCTTATTATAGAAAATCAAATGCTCATTTTACTCTGACCTCCTAGAGAGCCAGACTGGTAAAGTATCAATACTGCTGTATCACAACCCTGTTGAATTCCACCTAGATGCTCATCTTGTAGCAAAACTGTCTTTATTTAATTACAGGTTTGCAGGGAAGAAAATACCAAACTCCTAAAAGCTAAGATATGCATCTCTGAGGGAACTGAATTCATCCTTTAGTCAGCAGTATGATTTTCCCTTCTTATTTCTGCATGATAAACTGAATGAAGTATAGCACTGACCTGATCTACCCCCCATCTTCATCCCAGGCTGTTACTCCTTGGAGATTCTCAGACATGGTGAAATGTATTTTGGATTCTTCATTTGTTTTGTAAGAATAAGGAAATGACCCTGAGGTTGTAGGCTGTGAGACTTTTATGTACTTGTTTACGGAATTAAAACTTACACTGCAATCTCCAGAGGTTAAAGGTAAATTTATTAATGTATTCATTCATTAACCCGTTCATACATTAACTCACTCGTTCTGTTCCTTTGAAGATGAAAGGACAGTGCTGTGTTGCCTACTGATGAATGCATTTCCAGCAGGTGATGCTTGCACCCCTGACAGGGAAAAATGAAACATGCCAAGAAACTACTTGAAGAAATCCATTTTGCGAAGACAGAGGCATCGTCATTGTGAAGCAAATGCAAACAGATGGCTTCATGAATAAAGAATAATTAAAAACAGAATATTGGGTTTCAGGCTATGGATAGTGTTTAGTTTTAACAGACTAAGGACATAAGCCTCTCCCTTACCTCTGCTGTAATAACAAATATGTCAAATTATATTTAACATGAATGTTTCAGTTGGCCTGACTCCTCTGTGGAGTTAGTACATTCCTTTATTAAATAATGAAGAAATAGCTACTAAGCAGAATTTGGAGAAGAAAAGCTTTCATGGAATAAAAAATACATAGTCTACTGAAGTAAAATTGATTTTAACACTTTTCTTCTGTATGTTTGTTTTATTTGGTGATTACAAAAAACACAACTGCAACTGAAATGAAGGGCATTTTGCTATAGCATGTATCAATGCATCAGGCTACATCTGATTTTTCAGCAAATGTTCTTGATTCACTCTTTACTGTGACTTGATTCAGCAACTGTGAATTTTTTCTTTGCACTCAGTCTCAGAATGGACCCATGGTGTGTATTGTAATTATCTGCTTTTATACACTGATATACACGGTCATGACTTTATCTTGGAACAAGCTCTGGAGTTCTGTCCCTTTAAAGTGGCACACTTATTCAACATGATATAACCCCCATTCACGTTAGGGCTAAGGGAGAAAGTATGAAGATAGAGTACTGAAGGGGTCACTTCAGAGCTGTTTGCAAGCAGAATGATCTGATTTTCATGTAAAAGAAAACTGACTGGAATGCAGAAGTCTTGTGAACTGCAAGTGGACAAAGACAACTTTTTACACCAAAGCGTCTGAAATGTCAGATGCACATGCTTTATTTGGATAAAAGATATCTCACAAAAATGTCAAAAAAAAAAAAGAAAAAAAAAAAGAGAGAGAGAGAGAGAGAGAGAAAGTATGAAGGTCATAAACCTGAAACATCATCAACACTTTTAGAAGTATTTGTTATTTACATGGAATCCAAGAGAGGACATAAGCAGTAGGAACCTTCATGCCTGGCCTTGGTATTGTGGATTTCATGGTAAATTGCAGCAAACTAGTAAATGTTACTAACAGCTGAAATAATTTTAAGCATGGTAATTTAGACCACTGGAAATCAGCCATTAGCCTCTGTAATTAACATCAGTCCACTTTGTTTTATATCCCATTACAATCAACATTTATTACCCAACCATAGTTACCCAATCATATTTCAGATGGTAATAAAATTCATTTTGTGTTTAATCCACAACATTGCTTCCATAATCCCCGAAATAAAAACCTTATGCTGACATTTAAGCACATAGAAATGGCAGGAGGAAAAAAAGCTGTAACTGTCGGTTTTACTTTACATAATAACACAGCACAGGCTTTTAAGTCCTTGCTTACACAAAGACTGACCTTTTCACTTGATATAAAAGTCATATTTATTGAAACTTGGATCCACACCTTCAATCATTATTGTTACCTGCATCTTTTCATGTTGAATTTCCAGTGGTGCCTTTTACAGTCTTATGCCTGCATCTTGGCTGCACATCCTACTTAGAAACATATTTTATATAATGCCAATGGAAAAAATGTTGAAGAATAGCACAGCCATGTTTTAAACTGCTCTTTTTATTTAATCCTTGATTTGCTTCACTGAAACTACGTCTGATATATATTTGACACTGTTTGGTAGACACTCACTGGTACCAGACTTGCAAATCTGATGCAGACAGTTTAAAGGGACATGACAAAATCCTTGAGCCTGAACAGTCAGGCTTCTGTCTCCCTTAAGATCTTCTTCCATTTGAAAACTTTGGGCCTCTCAGAGTGAAGAGGGGCCCCTCCAGAAGAAAAGGGTGGGTACAACCCGACAAGTCTGCCCATATAACACTCTTGGGTGGCTACCATCAGCACTCCGAACAAAGCATCTCAAGTACACACAAACTATTAATGCTCTAAGACCCAGCCAGGAGAGCAGGTAAAAGAGGCCGCTGGTGCCTTTCCTTCCTCCCCCCTCAAGTTTTGTCCCAAGTGCAGCTCAGAGAGCACAGGAGAGTCAGCTTGTAAAGCTGCTATCTGGATGAAGAACAGGTTTTTTGATTGCCTCAAGGTAGTCTTTCAAGACAGTGCAAATACCAATAGGACCTTAAAAGGGCAAATTAGTTGCAGACAGTATGGATTGGTGAATAACACACTTAGAAATCTTTAGATGTAAACACATATTTTAGAAATAAATTCACCAAGTGACTCACAGAAGTCCATTGGATTATATGGAGCTTTTCAGTGTACTGCTTTTCTGCTTTTCTTGCTCAGATTTATCAAACTGATATTTACCTCATTTTCAGAGCCCTAGCTGCCTGTAAACATTTGCCATCCTACTTTTCATTTACACAGCTATCTTTTCTGAAGCATGCTGACTGGTAGAAAAATTACCAGCTGTTCAGTACCACAGATCTATTCTTTTTCATAGTTAAATGCTGCTGATTAAAATACACTAAGAATATACTTAGTTCAACAGCTACCTCTGACACTTTCCTAAACTGCTTCAGACATTTACTGTTAATGAAGTAACATGCTGCTGCACATCTTATTTGTCCTTTCCAGACTATGTTCCGAGCTACTCAGAACAGGTACCAAGAATTACAGATTGAGAGCCATGGGCATACAGATGTGAACACAACCATTAACCTCATGTTATCATCCTTCTACAGAAGCTGTAAGTACATCATGAGTGTTGTAGCATCCTATACAGACAAGAGATAAGCAATGTCCCAGTGACGGAAGGTTAAACAAGCACAGTACCATTTAGCCACATCTCAAACCTCTGTTTTATCTTTGATATGAAAACCAAATTGACTGGATGCGTTTTTTAAGAGATTGCTGGTACACTCCTCCTCCAGCGATGCAAAAGCACACAGGTTCTGCAAGTTGCTGATGGGCACCGCTTTTCAAAGACTACTCCTCTACTTCTGTTCCCAACTCTAGTGTAATTGCCCAATTCTTTTATTGCTCAAACAAAATTAATTCTTTGATGGGTGAAACTGGTACTTGAAAGTTTTTAAGTATGCAAAGATGCAGCTGAAAAGAAAAGGTCACTGGCTCTTTTTAAGTCCTCAAAAGCTCTGATATGAGAAAGACTGTTTACTTTATCCCTGAGTATGCCTAGAACAGTTTCACAATTGTGTGTGGAGTAGCATACACAAGCAGAGCATCTCCAAATAAACATATACACAATAACAACCGTGTTGCTATACAAAGTGTGAACATTTATCCTTAGGATGAACATTTGTTTATGAACCTAAGCTCACTCCTTTTCATTTCAATACTCAATCCCAAATCACCTTCTTGGTTTCAAATCATTTTCAACATTCAAAATCGTAAACAAATTATGTGATTCATTTTACAGAATCACAATCTGAGCACATACTTTATAAGACTTGATAAGTATGTAGATTTCATTTTAGCATAGTATTAAAGCTCTATTGTATGTCAATTATGTATTCATGGGAAAATTGCAAATAGCCAGATGCAAGAAGAAAGCAGTCTTAAGATCTTATGTGTGGTAAAGGCAAGACTCTCCTACTGAGGCACATGATATTATGGCCACCTGTTTTTCAGGAATCTTTTGTTATACTGTTTCTCCCTGTGATGAATTTTATACGCACAAGATACCATTAATACTGTATTTTCTTTACACACATATCTATATATGACAATTTCACCTGTTAAAACTATCTCACCCTAATGAGAATTTCACAGGCTGGTCAGATTTGTATTTCAGTGTTATTGTCAAGCATAAGTTCTAAGAATGATATGCTTGTAATTCACATGGCTCAGCAAAAAAGCACATGTCCTCAATACTTTACTAAGCTATCTGTATGAACCTCTTTACTCTTTTGAGTCCTATTGATCTGAAGTTCCTTTCCAATATATCTCAATCTCCTCTGTGAAGAATTTAATGGGAAATGCACATTGCTCTGTTTATTTTTATTTCTGTAATGCTAAGTATTATGGCATCTCAGGATTTTTTTCATACAGTACCTACAAAATATGAACTGCTGCATGTGAAATATTCTATATCAGGTGGAGTCTTAAAGCAGTAGCAACTAAATAGAGGCAAATTACTGCAAAAAAAATTTACATATTAATTCCTTCTTTGACACAATCTTTGCTCAAATTCTTGAAGAAGCAAGCATCCCCCTGCAGGAATTGGAATGTATAGTAGCAGCCTCTCAAGGTCAGTTTTGCTATGGGGCTGAATTCGCCAGTACACACCCTGATATTAAATCAGTGTTATTACACTGAATGCATACATTTTTGCCCACAGTGTATTTAGTAATTAGGTATAACCAGTCCATTACTAGAAATTAAAGTGGTAGGAAATTATTTATGCTTTTGGTACCATGACAGGAGAAATACTCTAGATCGTGGGCTACATGCATCAGTTGTATAAGCAAACAATCAGCAGGAAGTACAGCTAGCACTGCTAATATCATTATCTTTAAAAAAAAATTACTCAGTAATACAGGTCATAACTGTTAAAATCAGAGTAATTTCTGCAAGCTGTCTGTCAGCTTGGAGACCTGCTGCTGCTACTTAAGACCTAAATCTATATTTAGTTTCCTTAGTGAAAGCATAGGTTGCAAAGTACAAATCTGTGGATAGGAGAAGGAAATAAATTTCAAGGGTGGAAAATCATGGAGGGCACCAAGCCTTCCAGATAGTGTCCCAGAGGCAGAAAAGACAGAAGTGTTGGGAAACAAGTGCATGTTCTGCTGGTGAAGGTGAACTAGAACTCAGCTCCAGAGTTCTGTTCCTGTCCCTGCTGACAGCTTAGTCTCTGGTATTGGACAGCTCTTTTACACCTGCAAAATGCAGACACCAAATCTCACAGAGATGTGAATCTTTTAAATCACATTTATAATATCAATGTTGATAAAATGAATTCCCAAGATACTCTGAGGTCTTTAGATTGAAAGCAGAAAAATTCGTAGTAGCAATTTAGTTATAAGTAATTGTAAAAAAAATATAATAAATAAATAAACAAACAAACAAACAAACAAATAAATAATCCAAGTAATTGTAAAAAAAAAATAAAAAAAATCCAGGAATTTTCAAAAAAATGCAAATAACCACAGCACGGATGAGGCTGGGAGGAACCTTTGGAGGTTTTCTAGTCCAACACCACTGCTTGAAGCAGGATCAACTAAAGCAGGCTGCCCAGCATCATGTCCAGTTGGGTTTTGAGTATCTCCAAGACAGAGGCTCTACAACCTCTCTGTTGTATAGTCATAACCTCTCAACCCATTCAACCATTTTACTGCCCTTGTAAAAAAGGTTTTTTCTTACATTTAAGGGGCATTTTC